ATTGCAAAAACTCAAGTAAGCGGCGGAGCTCGGAGGGCTCCGGATCAAAGCGGCGCGGAGGTAACGAGGGCGGAGCGCGGTGCAGCCCCGGTGCCGGGCAGGGGTCACTCAGCGCCCGCCCAGCCGAACGGGCTGGAAATATGTTTATATGTTGGTCAAACTCCGGATAAACTTCAGCGGCGTTCGTGGCCGCGTCTGCCCGCGTGTGGTTATTTTCCAGAAATCAGGATTACGGGAAACATTCGGAGAGAAATCTAAACAGGCTGAGGAGGGGGGGAGCTTAGGGGGTGCCGGGGTTCTCCCCGCGCGGACGGGGCGCACAGAGGGAGGAGGTGTCGTGGCTGGGGCCGGGCATCACTATCCGTAACGCGCATCCCCGGGGCCCGGGATGGGGCGAGATCTGGGTCCCTCCCCGCCCCACCTGTGAGGCCGCCACCGCCCCTCGACGGGCACCTGAGCGCGGGGCAGGGACATTCCCCCGCGTCCCTTCTGCAGGTGGAGAGGGAGAAACGTGTCAGAGAGCTTCGGGGCCGCTCCTCCCATGGCGAAGGGCTCTTTCCACGAGCTCCCAGCCCGCACCTGCGGGATTGCTCTGTACTGTGCACGCAGAGGTGTCTGGTGCCCCACGTCCGGTAACGAACAGCCGCTCCGCCCGATCCTCGGCGGCCCCACCGGGCTGAGGAACCCCCCCACAGCGGGCCCGGCTCTTTCCCGGCCCGGCTTTTTCCCTCCTCTGGAAAGTGCACAACGGCCGCAGCTGTCCGGCCCCTTTTTAGGGCCCAGGAATACAGCACCCCTCATCTCTGCCGAGAAGCGAACCCCGAAGGCTCACTCCCAGCACGAGAAAGCCCTTTTTTGCCTCAATCCGAGAGCCGTTCCAGAGGCGGCCGGCGGCGGTTCGTGGGGCGGCCCCGCACGGTCGGGAGGAGAGCCCCGGGGCACGGAGCCGCCTCAGCCCGGAGGAGCCGGGAGGAGGGGAAGACGGAGGCTCGACTGCTTGGGAGAATTGTTATTTTTCATCAATCAGCCGCAATTTGTGTAAGTGCCCCGGACAGGACACCAGCCGTCCTGCTGGCTGGGGTCACGGAGACAACGCAGCGATGGAGAAGAGCAAATTGCATTTGCTCACCAGCTCACAGATCCAAATTACGGCCCTCGCATGGCGCGGGGAAGGGAGCGAAAGGTCCATGTGACATGAGGGAAATATGAAGGACTTTGACAGGTCTTAAACGGCCTGGCGCCAAGGCCTAAGTCTACCGGCTAAAAATAGAAAAGAGATGATGAGTGGAGATGGGCAGAGATGAAAGGGAAGAGGGAGCGGGGCCACAGAGCTTGGGCGGCCGGACCGGGCCCGTTCCTCGGAGCTGATCTCTGGAGTGGTTCCCCGGAGGAGCCCAGATGATGCCTCCGAGTCCGGGGAGCGCCGTCGGGGCCGCGCACGGAGCCCCGAAGGAAGCAGTGCCCGGAGACGGGAGGCACTGTGAGCGAGATGGCGCGGGGACCCTTCTCCCCCCTCATTTGGGAAAGGGCCCAGGGGTTCGGGCGGGGCTCGAAGCAGCGACTCCCCCTGCCCATTGCCCGGCTGTGGCCGAGGAGCGTGTCTCGGGGTCCGGCTGTTCCCGCCCCGTCCACGAACACGGGCTCCCGATTGCGGTTTCACGAACGGAGCTGCCCCTGGGAATGGATGCGCGGCATCCCCGTGTGCCCCACCTCGGCTGTCCCACCGACGGGCGCTGCCACAGAGGCTCGGGGAGACGAGGAGGCTCTGGATCGGTTTTTATTCTGCAGGCGAGGGCGTTTGCGATGTTACAGCTTTGCCGAGGGGGGAGGGGGTCCCAGAACCTGGGCCCGGGGGGAGGCGACGTTTCCTTGCGGGGCCCCGCTCTGCCCCTCGGAGCTGCGGGTGCGGTGTCCGCAGGTTTGCGTAGTGCCCTGGAGCGGGGTGATGCAACCGTGGGGCAACGCGAGGATCCGGGCGTGCTTGGAGGGGGGGAAAAAATGAAAAAAAAAAAAAAACCGAGCAAGCCCCATTTTTGCCAAAGCTGCTGTCAGCACATTTCCGCGGTGTCGTGGAAGCAAAGTCCAAATGAGGTCTAAATTTCAATCCCCGCTCGCCACCTCGCCCCGTTCAATGGTCAGTGGGACCGATCCACCCCCCTCCCCACCCGCCCATCAGCCCCACGCGGTGGCCGGGAGCCGTGAGGGCAGCCCCGCTGTGGCCGCGCTGCGGTCTCCCCGTCGGGAGGCGGCGGCTGGAGGTGAACCTGCCGCGGGATGGGGCGGGATGCGGCCGCCTCTGGGGTTTCTCCTCGGGCCCTTCGCAGCACCGGGGTTTGCTGGCAGCACGATAAAACACGGTGTGAGGAGAAACAGAGGAGAGGTGGCGATGGGGAGAGGGCTGCCGGGGGTCCCCGCGTCCCACCCTCCGCGGGGAGCGGCCCAACGCTGTCCCCAGGAAGGCAGCGCATCGTTGCGCACCCGCGGAGCCGTGGGCAGAGGAGGGGGCCGCCCCCCCCCCCCCCCCCCCCCGTCAACGTCCCGTCTGGCAGCAGCGCAGGCGGCAGGCGCAGGAGCCTTCTAAGGATCGCAGGGCGCTTTTTGAAGATTTGGGGGTAAATATGAAGTGACAAGAGACGGGTCTTTATTGTGAGGGCTCAGCCGCCTGGCGCCAGGGCCCTCTTCAGCCACCGCAGCCCTCAGTTAATCAGCGCAGATCTCCAAACGGACCTCTCCGCGGGGACACCCACCGCGCCCGCCGCCTCCCCCCCCCTCCCATCCCGGGCCCCGGCGCGGCGGGACCGGCCCTAATCCCTCAGCAAACAGCCCCGGCATTTCCCCTCCGCCTTATCTGCCTCCCCCCGCCCGGGTAAACAGCCCCTCGGGCCGGGCAGCGCAGCGCGGCCCCGACGGGAGGGCACCTCGCGGGGCGCCCCGACGGAGGGGTCCGCGCGGAGCTCCCAGCGGGACCCCCCCAGTCGGAGCGGCCTCGCGGGGCCGGGAGCGAGGGCAGGGCGCGGGTCTCCTCCACTCACCCGCGCTGGATGGAGCTCGCCGCTCCGGCCTCGCCGCCTGCAGCTCTCCGCCGTGCTCCCGGCGGCCGAGCCCGGGCCGCCCCGTCGGTTGCCGGCGGTGCGCGGCGGGGCGGGTCCCACCTTGATCCTCTTTCCAGGATCTGTCGTAAGACGGCGGCCGCCGAGTTCCCCCGGCCGCTCCCCCCGGCC